TGGGCCCCGGAGACGCGGAGGACGTAATTGGTGCTTGGACCTTGTCCCTATGTTGGAGTGTCCGTATGTCAGATCACGTTTTCCCAAAAACTTCAAAAGGAGCATATTTAATTGGTTCCCTCGTTCACCGAACATTAGGAACAACGTCTCCAAAATATTAAAAACAAATTTATTTTCTCAACTTCAAGATGCAGAAAATAACCGTGCAGATGAAAACCACACATAATCTATCAGAACTTATAAACAAAACATTGTTCAATTATTTTTAGAAATGTTGGTGAAGTGTCTGATGTCTCTCGGGACACGGTCAACATTTCTTAGTTTCAAGTGTCCCCAAGTGTAATCGTCCGTATGTCGGGGTTCCACTACTGTACTGCATATCGAAAGATATTAAAAAATCTTAAATCAGGGTCAGGGAAATCAAGAGAATTACACCCTTTTCCGGAATTAGTAGCATAAATGCATAAAAATTGGCCCACTTCCTCGGTCCACCCAGCAGAGTAGAGAGAGAAATAAAAAAGGAACCCAACAGCCACAACGCGTCGCGTGACACACTTTGGGTGAAAACAAAAGGAACGTGCGCCGAACCAAACCTACCAAAAAAGCAAGAGCAGGATGTAAAAAAAATAAAATAAAATGAAGTAAAAAAATAAATAAACGCGCAGAGTTTCCATCCCGTCTCATCGCGTTACGGAACTGCGTGGGAAGCAGGAAACAAACACTTTCCACTTCTGCTCCCACGATGTCCTGGTTTTTCTTTTATTTTCATTCTGTAATTACTTTCAAAAGATTTTCAATCATTTTTCGTTCAAACGAAAATAGTGGGAGGAAAGAAAAAAACACTCTCCAGCACGAGAGCGACACATCTGTCTCTTCAACCTCATAATTCCATTCGCCTCACGGTGAAGGCCTTTGAAAACTACATTATACTGGGTTAACTATGTCCCAAGTTCACGACAATCGAGTTAATTAATTTAAAACAATCGTAGGAAGCATCTAGTGACTAATAACGTCTTCATGCGAACGTAAGACGTCATCAACGTCACGTTTCTCTCAAGCCTCACAAATACTCAAAAATAAGGAATAAAAATAAACTCGAGTCTGCAGGGAAATTTAACAAGACATTTCACAAACTCTGCTGAACAGGGTCGACCAAAAAGTGCACTTATTTCCAGGAGACAAACCTCTGAAATATAGGAGTTTTTGCAACGTTAAGCATAGTTGCGTAAGTTGTTAAAGTTCGTTAACGCATTCTTGGTAATTTGACAAACGAAACTACAGACCACAACCGTTTATGAACAAGCCTAAATACAGCTCGATCATTATCACTTCATGTAAAAATAATTGTGCCCTACTTTTGGGGTGCAGGGAAACACCGATCAGGCATAATTTTCAATTCAATTAAATTCGGTTAGGCGTGAGAAAGTTTCATCATCGGTATGATGCCTTCAAGTCAGACACTCTGTTCGTTTATAAATGAGAGATCACAGTGGGTCAGGCTGGTTTTTGACGTTGCCACAGACAAGGGCATAGATAACACAACAGAGTAATAAACTTTCTTCTGGTAGATGTCGTTGGTGCACGAGTGGCCTGCAATACTTCCAGAATTCACACCTACGTACGAAGTACAGTCAGTAACATCATTACTGCTCTGACACATGGCTATAATAAATAGCACGTAAATAAATTAAATAAATTTGAAAGAAAATCTACGTCACGAAATCGAAGGCGCAACCTGATTTTCGCTTGCTCTCCTTTCGTTCGCAAAAAATGATGATGATATGGTAAACAGGTCTTCAATATCGCAATCTTCGAAATATCCAAGCAAACAAGTTATCCANGTCTGCAGGGAAATTTAACAAAACATTTCACAAACTCTGCTGAACAGGGTCGACCAAAAAGTGCACATACTTTCAGGAGACAAACCTCACTTTATATCCTCAAAAACGTTGCAATTCGTATCAACGCATTCAACAATTTCAAGCAATTGCGTAAGAACCATTAAACTGTTTGCTTTGATGTCTGGTGTTGGCAAATACTTGTTCGGATTTATGTCTCGATAATTATCACTGCATGTAAAATTAATTGTGCCCTACTTTTGGGGGGCAGGGAAACACCGATCAGGCATAATTTTCAATTCAATTAAATTCGGTTAGGCGTGAGAAAGTTTCATTATCGGTATGATGCCTTCAAGTCAGACACTCTGTTCGCTTATAAATGAGAAATCACAGTGGGTCAGGCTGGTTTTTGACGTTGCCACAGACAAGGGCATAGATAACACAACAGAGTAATAAACTTTCTTCTGGTAGATGTCGTTGGTGCACGAGTGTCCTGCAATACTTTCAGAATTCACACCTACGTACGAAGTACAGTCAGTAACATCATTCACTGCTCTGACACACGGTTATATTAAATAGCACGTAAATAAAATGAAAAAATTTGAATGAAAATCTATCAGTGCTTTAGCTTCCGCGTTGGACTAAAAGCGAACGAGAGGAAAGCAAGCGTTTTTTACTACTACTATACCATTTGTCCAGAAGTTATAGCGTTAGAAGCTTTATAGGTTCGTTTGTTCAATAGGTGCCATCTTCTTCCTCCAGTAAAAACGAAAATTCATGACAAAGAACACGAACAACTCCACGTGGACGCTAATCGATATCACCAGGTGGTGATATCGCACAGTAATAAGTTCAAATAATACTTCAGCCACAGGCGAAAAAAAAAATCTAATAATAGAGGTAAGAAAAGTTTTCCTCTGCAGAATTCCCCATTCAACCTTGAAAGGAAAATATTTGACATTTCTCAGAACGCAATAATCCCGGTACAGTAAAGTACAGTACTTGAAAATTCGAAATCAAGATTGCTCCCTCTTCTTCTACGTACCAGTTTTTATTTGTATAAATAGGAGGTGACGTTTCTCTAGCCCTCCCTACTCAGTTTGCTATTTGTGCTAAGTTCAGTTCTCCCTGCTCGGAAGTGTTTTTAGCTACAGTTGAGTGTTTTCAGGTATAGTAAATGGATATACCCCGCGGCGTTCCACGAACAGGAAAATAAACTACGCCTGTTCATAGTTCGAGCAAATGGAAAATTCTGGGCACTTGGAATATTTACTCATCCCAGATCACCAGGATTCTGCGTTGAACCACTCAATTCTACTTTAAGCCAAGCAAATATTCCGCAGAAAAAAATGCATAAAACTTATGGCGGAGAGCATCACAGATCGACGCATTAAATTCATGAAGATGTTTTTCACGAAGACACAAAGTGATTTCCTTTTCCATTAAAACGACAGTTCAACAACACGAAAAACAAGCCAGAAATCTGATCTACGAAAGAGAAAAAAATTCCAAAATTATCCACAGACAAAAACAAAGCTATATAATTAATTGCTCTTTTAAAACGATTCTCACTCACACGCTGATGATCTTTCCATGGACTTGTTTATTTCCAGCGGAAAGTCCATCATAAAAAAAAACCATTATTCATGAAGCAAGATGAAAGCTGAACAGGATGATTCACAGGTTTCAGGCTCACCAGAAGTCCCTTTAATGAGTAAGGCGACTTGACTGAGTTCATTGCTCGGGTAATCCTTTCCGGATTCTTGGAAGCTTTTGGTCAATAATTCTTGGATAAGTACAGGTATAGACAAAATAGTAAACCTAATTACAAGCAGAGAAGAAATCTCATTAACTCAAAAAAACAATGCTGAATCAAATCAATAATCAACACAGAAGAGTTACCGTGAGTTACCACATTCCAAAAGAAATGCTGAGAACCAGATTCTGCGTCACACGCAAAATGCGCTGGTATAAATTTTTCTCAAAGATTTTAAAGCTCAGGCTTGATATTTTACTGGATTCTAATGGGATATGTTGGACCAATTTCAACAGAAAGCCTTATTTTTACGGAAAAGATTGCCAATTACACTACCTGAATTCAAATTCAATCCATGTCTAAATTCAAATTTGAGTGTCCTTAGTTTTGAAATTTGTACCGTATTGCCCTTTGTAGTTACTAAAAATGGGGATACAAGAGTGTGGCGGCTGTTGATGAAAATGGCGGAATTACAGTGAGGCCCCCACATGCAGACACCTTGACCTGTAGACAATTCAGCATAGGGACACTTGTTTTCCCAGAAAAAAATCAATAACTAAGGCCCAACATGAGGACACTGACTCAACATGGGGACATTTTGTGATGAAATTGCAAATACATTTCAGGCCAAATTACAAGAAACAGATATTTACAACCCTAAAATTGATGTAAGAAAAGTTCTTGGGGCATTTCTCTCACCAAATTACCATCCATTTAGCTAATTAAAAAAAATTACCTCCAGCATAGAGGGACTTCTACTTTTTTCACTTGAATGTTATTTTTGTCAATGCCAAAATTTCAGTGTACAGTACAGAGATCCACTATTCCATGCTCCAAATTTTATTATTGAGTTGAAAATGTATTCACTAATTCAAATTCAAGTGGCAAACAATTTTGTTCAGGGAATCCTGAAGAATATTTCTTCCATAAAACACCAATTAAAAATTATATAATGTAAGTCTATGGGCAAACAAGACTCGACTTAGGGACATTTCGACTTTGGGACACTCTTGATGCACCAATTATGTCCGCATCTCGGGGTCTCACTGTATTTGGGTACAGCTGGAGACAACCCTTTAAATTAATGTCATGTTGATTCCAAGAATCCTGAAGAAGGAGCAGGGCTACATAAGAAAATTTTCTGAGTGAAAGAGCTGAAAGCTGCCAGGGTGACTTTCGCCCCAAACAATTTTTAAAAATAAATGCTTACAACAGGGCTGAATCATTTGTATTTGTTTGTGCCAAAGACTGTTGTTTTTTTCCTCTTCTCTGACGTATGTTTGTTTTCCAGCTCAGTCGTACATATGCCGATTCAATTTCAAACCCCCCACAAGTTTTGTCAGACCCATGGTATGCACAGTACAGTACAGGACAAGCCCATAGTACTATACTGTACTTTTCTTTACCTTCGTCATCCGAATGCGCGGAATTGCTCCTCAACGGACGCCGCACATGCTTACGAAGCAGGGCCCTGGGCGAGAGTTTCGGGCGACACATGGAGCATCTTTCCATTCGGTCGTGGCACTCCATGTCCTCGGCATCCGCGAATATGAGACACTCCACGACACCGTCGATGATGACGCGGTCTTCCGGTTCTGGAAGACTGTCGGTGAAACTGTCGCAGGAAGGACATTTTCTGCGCGTCATGTCTCACACACACACACACACACTTTCTTCTTTCTAATTTCTGACGAATTAGACGACGTTGTTCGGTCGGATGCCTGCAAAAGCACTGCGACAGCCAGCCACGCGCGATCACCACACAGAGCGACACGTTCCGAAGGTCATTTCATTCTGCAAAATTTTCAAAAAATAAGGAAATTCATTCGAGTACCGCACGCACCTTTTTTTTCTTTTCAAAACTGAGACAATAAATGGGGGTGCGCGTCATATAAGCAGTAGAAAATTTCACAAAAAGTTTTAGAAGCTTAAATGTGCACTGTAGTTGATTTTAATAAGAGATTAAACCAATTTCAACAGAAAAACTTGCTGTAATCAAACCAATATGGTTGAAATCAGGTTCAATTCATGTCTGAAGTCAGATTGATGCGTTCTTAAATTTGAAATATTGCAGTTTTGAAGTCATTAAAAATGAGGAGCGCGTCTTACTCGAGGATACAATTTTTCAAACATTTTTTGACCGAAAAACTCTCCTGCGCAAAAATTTTCAGCTTTGCCACAACAAACAATACTAATTCGAGACACGTTTTCGAACAGTAAAAAAAGACTTCTGATGTTCAGTCACCGACATCAGTCACGCAATCCCATTCGAACGACACTTCAGAAGAGTAAATTTCTTCTGCCAAATTTGAGATGAGGAAATGCACGAAGAAAAAGTTCCTCGGCTGCTCCGTCCTAATTGAGTAGAACAAAAAATGCGTTTCACAGACAAAATAATGAACCGATTTGAAACAATCCAACGTAAGCCTTTCAGAACTGAAAAAAGGAGCTTAAAAAAATCCAGCGAATACGTTCAATCACTGACAACAGCCACACGATCACAAAAGGCAGCGACGTTGGCATTAAAATGACAAAGCGACGCATTCAGATGTTATTTGTCTTCCGCAAAATTAAAAATTTGAGAAATGCGAGCAACAAGTTTTATCTGCCATTCAAACTCAAACTGAAATTGAGTAAAACATACAATCACGCTTCAGTAAAGCATGCCGACATATCCTTGTGAAGTATACACTTAATTAATCAGAGGCACAAAAAGTCACACTTGATTGTTAACGGAGCCACAAAAAAGGCTCGGTGAAATTGGTGTTCAATCACCTAGTTAAGTTAATAGAACCCGAACACTACTTCGTTCCTCCGCAGAAGTACGTCACACGATGAAAGAAACAAGCGCGAAGTTTCAAAAACGCCAGGAAATTACGTCTGCGTAAACAAACCTTGATACAGTGCAATGAAGTTAGTACGCGAAGAACCCTGTAAAAACATATAACCCAATCCCGTTTCATTCAAAAATAAGCAATTAATACACTGAAGGAGAAAATTATTCCTTCAGAGGAATTAGGGAGCTTTCACTTCAATTGCAGCATTTAATTTCTCAACATCAACTCTTGACATTTACTACATAGAGTACAGTTTAGACAGAATTCACGGCTGTTGTGGGAAAATGATAAAATTGATGTGGTGGCATCAATTATCACCGTAAAACGATCGACAAACAATGCAATCAAAAGGATTGAAACACATATCCTAAGATCAGACAGATTAAAAATACTGTACATTACACTTCGTACACTCACCTTCGTGAACTGGTCTTACAGAAACTAATCCTTAGATTATCCGCGCAGGAAATCGCAATATTCATGCAAAAATTACACATGAATTTCCATCGATACCAAAGAATCGCCAAAGGCACGAAGTGGACCAGAAATCAAGACAACACACAAACCTTTCGACGATTCGTCAAGACCATGTGAAACACATCCACTGTTCAACAGTATGCGCGAAAGTAGCGCAGAACTGTGAGACGCCTTTGTTCTGAGGCCGGACTAAAACACACACAAATGACATCTTTCTTATATTACATTTTAGAATCATCACTGAAACCCAACCCAGTCAAACAAGGAACGTTATAAAAATCACTTTCAAAGGACAAAGTTTCCCAAATCTTCAGAAAATCGATCGCAGCGAAAGCGGCTAACGAAAACACTGCGGGGAAAAAAAGGTGCATCTCGTGCTATCGGAGACCAGGACATTTTTTTCAAGATTCACAGCCATCAAGTCAAGGATTCAATGCGTCAGAAGAAAAATCGAACACTCAATTTTGCAGGCTGGCAAATGCAAGTTGAGTGCGGTACTGTACTGTACAGTAATCCTGACCTTCAGCAAGTCTGGACCGCGCGAAGCTTCCTTTGGAACTGTGCGGGGTTTCAACGAAAGTTGCTATACACAGTATGAAGAGCCTATACTGATTCGCTACTGGTCCGGGTACAAGTTTCTGACTGCCAAAAACGATCCTAGCACAGCGACATCAAACTCGGGGAATTTATTTTAAATCTTGAAATCTAAGATTTTCTCACCAACGCGGGTCAAATATCAAATTCTTAGTGGTGGCTCAATAACGAAGGACACCCGAGCGGAGTGATGAACAAATTCGGATCGTTTTGACGCAGTGAGTAAAAATCCGGCATCCTACTTTCGGGGTTGCCAAGTCGTAGGCAATTCGTGCGCCGCGCATTTCCAGCAACGACATCTGATAATCACTCTATAAAACAGTGTCTCAGCACTTGGCGTTAATTAAGGATTCACACCTCGCACATTTAATCCAACCATCATTACGAGCCCGCTGTAGTGCAATTAAACTAACTCATCAGTGTGAATTATTATGTGTACTCATGAATAATTCTAAGGGGGCATGTTTCATATTACAGTCAAACCTCTTCAAGTCGAACTTCAAGGGACCATCAGAAAAATTTTGAGTTCTGGAGGTTTCGAGTGAGGGAAACACGTAAAGCATCTTTTTTCGGGAAAAGAAAGAACTGCAGAAAAATGTAATTGGTAATTTTTGGGCATTAATTTGCTTCTTTAATAAGTTGACAGGATGCTGAACTCGGAGGCACGGGTTCATTCGCCACATTAGTCTTTCACTTTTTTTAAAAACTCATCGTCACATTTTGAATACTTTCATCTTTCCTGCGTCAATAAAATGAAAGTCAAAAGGCCTCCAAAAAATTCGAATTATCAAGGTTTTAGACGGAAAGGCCTTTGAATTAGAGAGGATTTTCAATGCGTTTAGAAAATTCAGACAGGGGCTCGAAAAAAAAAATCGAACAAGAAAGGTTTGAGTTATCTGGATTCTAGAGTCAACTTTGAGACAGATTAAAGCAATTCCAGGTAACACGTGTCAAGTTTGGTCACGGTATGCGATTTTTCATTTTTCAAATGGACTAATTGAAGCTTACATGGAACATGGCTCCCAATTAACAGCTTACGCAAGATTTTCATACTACAGTGAATTATAAATGTTGCTTCAGGACACCTATCATAGAATTTGTACGATACCAGATTACGCAATACTGTACAGTGGACAGAGAAGAGTTGCTCCCTATACTGTAGTCTCTATATATACATGCTATGACGCAATTGTCACGATAATTTCAGCCTCTTCTTTCTTAAACAGAAAATTGTTAATTCCTAACCAATAAAAAACGGTATAATCATGCTTGTAAAACAGAAGTTAAATAAAATTATCTAATTTGCGCGACTATCGGCCAAGTGAGAGATTCTGAGTCTATTTTTTCAAAAATTGTGACTGGAATTTCATAGGGACGAAACGGCAGAGTATAGACATCAAATTCATTTTTAAATTACTCAAGTTGAGATCAAGGAGCCCTTTTCAATAACAGCCAGCAAGTTGCCAACGGGATAACACTTCGATTTTCCACCACGTTCATCTGAAAAAAAAAACTCGCGAAATTTCGAACCCAAGCTCAGAGGGCACAAAACTGAAACATTATCGGAAGTACAGACATGAATCTTGCACGTCAGTGAGATCAGTTCATAAATATCTTGAAATTTTAGTCTTAGTCCCTAAAAATAATCTTGTTGAAAGGAGAAAACGTTGTGAGGCGGTAGTCATAGGTGAAACTTGACGGAAAAGACACAAGAATTTAATTCGGGCATTGCTCGCTTGCGTGAAACAGGCCACGACGACGAGCAGCTGATTCCTCTCTGAGCAGTATAACTGGAAAATGTACTTCCCGTCATACACGCCTTATTCTAATAATTATTATAAAAAATACATTATAAGAGTTACATGAGGCAGGCAACAATAAATCTCCGTTCTGCTTCCAGAAACCCAGAAAAAAATCCCATAAAGCTGTTATTTCACTTGCTTATTTTTTTCACCAATTAAATTCGCGTTTCCCTAACTCCACAAAATCACTTTCGGATCACTATACGCTCGATTTTCACGCTTTAAAAATCATTGCATCAACGCGCTGGAATTAACAAGCGCAACCTCGAACAACTGAAACGACAAGTTCTTTCTTTTCACACAAAGGCGGCGAGTTATTCGAGTATTCAGCACCGCCTGAATATTTGCTTATCCTTCCATTTCCTCAGTCTTTCATCACAACAAACCTGAATTGCACAGGGAAGGGTCTTAAGGATGATAATAATAATCTGTGTAAGCTTAAGTGATTTGTTTATTCTACATAAATAGACAAACTTATGTTCAGCAACATATACATCACATGGGCCAAATTAAGGAAGTCAATAAGGGACATATCCGCACAGGAATCAAAAATGTTGGAAATATCAAGAAAATACATACGCATTGACCGTACCCAATTAAGGAATTACGATTCATCTTTGACTATATTTCATAAAACTTCGAATTCATAAATATTAAATTGAAAATTTATAAAATACATTTCATAAGACCTGGGGAACAACTGGGAGAAAATAAAATTTCCGCGTACCTTTCGTACGGCATGATTTTTACGTGTCTAATTTTATCTTGAGTTATCTGGATCCCTTTCCATCCTGATAATCATCTCAAGTTACGACCTGTATGTACAGTATAATATACTGTAGAGGCCATAAATTCTATTCATCCCGCGACATTTCTTTGAATATTTCGAGCATCGGCCACATTTGAATTTTTAAAGTTGTTCGTCGGAAGAAGAAAGAGGGGCCCGTAAAACTGTACAGTAATTCCGTGAATGTGGTAAGTTCGACTTTTTTTTACGGGAGAAAAGATAAGGAATCGCTCCTGATCCGCTCGAGCACACAACCCACTGAAACATATGGGATCAACAATAATTTCATCACGAAGCCAGAAAGAAAGAGATTACACGT